AATTAATAAAAAGTAAACTTGGATCATTCAGAAAGGCAGGAGAGGGCAAATGAAGCCTCCTGTCCTGGCGACCTATGAAAATGGCTTTTCTAACTCTTCTCACGAAGTGCAGTTCTTATGATCAAACCTGATTCGTACAAGCTTTGGCTTGGAATCCTGTCTTTGAAACAGTTGAAGTTAGTGTTTTCCTGTGTTACCTGGCTTTGTGTAGTCTCGTCTTTGAACTTTTCTGCTTCGGTCTTCTCCTTCTGGGAATTCTGCCTGCTTCTGTCTGACTTGTTCTCCCCGCTGTGGAAAGGCAGCGAAGCTGCCCCGCTTGTCCCTCAGAGCGCACATTGTGCAAGTGTATTTGGATAGACAGAGGCCCTGAATATGGTTTTCCTCCCTCCCGGTTGGAGTCACACCTCCTGAGTTATTGTCTGGGTCCCAAATGTCTGAGCCCTCTTCCTCCGCTCTCACTGGGCTGCTGCCGGCGTGCCCTGTGCTTGGAAAGGGACCTGTAGGCTGACAGGCCTCTCAGACTGCTGGGGCCATCAAACGTACATGGCCTTGGGAGACTCCCTTTCCCCTTTTGCTGAGCTCCTACCCCCTCAGTCTAATAGTTTGGACTGAAAGCTGTTCATTTGGCTGAAAGCTAAAAACTTTTATGGTGTGGCATATTAGATACTTCGGGAAACATGTTCTGAGGTGCTGGACCGGCGTGGGTAGCGGTGGACTGCTGCATCATGTGATCATCTTTGCCCACCTGAATGAGGTGTTAGAGGTCTGTACACCACAAGGCCTGTGATCCAACTCTTCAGATATCAGTGTTTGAGGCTGTGGAGCCGTTTCCCCGAATCCCGTACCAGAAAGCAGTCAACATGGAGGGGCCAAATGTGGCCGAGATGGCAGAGCCAGAAAAGCTGGCCGTAGAGCCACAGCAGAAGGCCAGGGCCAGAGCCTGGCAGCTAGAGCTGAGGAGGTGCCAGCGCTGCCTCTGCCTGAAGGTGGGCTGGACAGAAAGCTTGCTCTTTTCTCATGCTGGGCTCAGAAGCACTGAGGGAGGGAGGTTGAAACTTCAGAGGCCTAGAAATGGACCGTTTGTACTGCTGCAGCTATTCTGACAGCTAGAGCCAGAGACCAGTATTTTGCTGAGGCTTGGGTAAGAAAGTTAGGGATGTGAGGAGGTGAAAATCCTGAAGAAGAGAAAACACGTGAGGGAGTTGAGAAAACTTTTGTCACTTTCTGATCGCTGACAAGTCCGGATTTTTTTCGAGGCTGCACAGCTGGTCAGATTATCTCTAGATACCTTTCCACCATGGTTCACAGGGCTTTGTTCTTCCTGGATTATCTTGACTATGGGTAGCTTATTTTCAAGGCTCATTGCCTTTTTAATCCTGTTCCAGATCACTTATCCAAAATCTTTCCAAATCAATTCTATTTTGCTGCTTCTCTTTAATTCTCTGAAAGCCATAGCTTCTAGATTTTCTATCAGCATGCATTCTCACCAGAAGTTGAACCAATACAGGTAGAAAAAGAAAGCTCCCTTAATGTTTTTAACTAATGCTATTTTTTTAAGCTTACCAATATAAGTATTTTTAAAGGTTATATTTTTCAAAGTCATAACAATGATTGTTCTTGTTTTCTCTCATAGTATAGATTGTCATGGGATAAAGAGGGGTGCCTAGCTTCTATTTCTCCAAGTAAAGAAGTAGAACATGTTATTGGGATTATACCATTTAATGTTAATTTTCTTGAAAGCTTTTTGTCTGCCGAAGTTTTATGTTAGTGCTTGGACTGAGGTAGAGAACAGAAGCGTGGTTAGCGTTGGGATGACTTGGATTGTCTTCCTGTAGGTTTGAAGTGGGCCTTCCCGCCTTTTGAGGAAAAAGCTGTTTTGAACACATATCCTGGATTAGTTGGGTTGTTTTGTATTGAGGATCCCAAAAAAGACAAGAGTCTTGGAAAGGACTACTCACTTCGTCGTCAATGTCCACCCATCACCAGTGTGAGCCCACAGGGAAGAGCTCCTCAGCTGGGGCTCAGTCTGTACTTTTCCTGTCCATTATTAATTTGTTCTGAGTTATTTGGATTTTGTTATTTAGCCAAATAAAGGCAATGTGGTTTTACCTGACGTTCCATTTCCTGTGTTGTGACCTGTGTGTGGCACATGTTGTGGATTTGGGACTTTTACTTGGCCTCTCAGTACCTTTGCTTCTGCATACTCATTCTCTCCTCGGAAATCAAGCCCATGCCCACAGTATCAGGAGATTCCTTTTGTAGCTTGTCACCGAAGACTCAAAAGCCAGTGTGCCACAAAGCAAGGCTGACCCGCACCCCCAGGCCTCGTGTGGTTGGTGCCCTGGTGACACGTCTGTAAGGGAAGGAGCACCTTCCATCTGTTCTCCAGAGGCCTGGCTTCTTCAAGACTTTGGGCAGGTGCTATTTTGCGTAACCAAGTTCTGTTCTTATACCAGTAACAGTACTTCCTCTTTCCATCTGCTTCGGAAAGCTCAGTAAGCTTTCCTTTATTTTTTTCCAGGGACCGGGCCTCCCTGTGTCCCCCAGGCTGCAGTATGTGGCACAACCATCGCTCACTACAGCCTCAACCTCCTGGGCGTAAGCGATCCTCCCGCCTTAGCCTCCCAAAGTGCTGGGATAGCAGGCATGAGCCAGCACACCCAGCCAGCAATATACAACCCTGAAGGACCCATAGTGACATGGACAGAGGCCGTGTGCCCAGTTACACATTTTCAGGCTTCATCTTGTTTATTACAAAACTTAAAACACCTTCCCCAGGCAAGATCCAAAACAGTTTTATCCCACACAGTGTTCACCTTCATCTGTCGTGTCACATGGAGTCTGCCAGCCTGTGCTGACAATGGGAATGCTTCCCCATTTGGTCAAGGTTGAGGGACAGTAAGGAAGTCTTTATTCTAATGAGTACAGCATCTCGTTCACTGCCCAGGCCATCCACCTTAGGCCTTGAGGGTCAAGTCCAGGTCTGGAGAAGGGAAAGCTTCATACCCAGCCCTGCGGTCTTTCCTCCGGTAGTACGTCCGTGTCAGCACAGTCATTAGAAAAGTCTCCAGTATGAGGAGGTGGCAGTTCATCACTGCAGTGTGGGGCGAAATAGAACGTAGGTTGCACTGAGTTACAGAGGTGGTATTTTACCAGCAGCCCCGGCATATGAGTTGAGCAACACTTTCTCCGATTTATCCCCAAATTAGGACTTAGGGATACAAAATTATCATAAATAACATAGCAGGTTACTGGTAGAGCCAGAACCAGAACTTGGCTGTCTAATTCTGTGATCTGAGGCTAGCATTAAAGTCCATTTCTTATGTGTGTTCAATCAACATGGGCTTCTGTTTTTCAGCCACACCCATTCCTCTCCCTGAGGCTGACGGTTGAACCCATGGCTTTCTGGGCTGGCACTCTGGGCTGTCCCCAAGCTGTGGGGTTTCACTTCTCTTCTGTGTGATCAGAGAGGTCATAGTTTCCTTAAAGCCTTTGTTGGGATTTCCTGGAGATCCCTTCTGAACATTCTGAGCAGAAGTCAGTTGCCCTAATGTCTGTCTGAGGCCCTTTCTTTCCCGACTCTTCCCTATCTCATCCGTCCCACGATGGGATAGGGGCCTCCATGTGCTCACCTTGAGACCTGATTTTAGAGGAAAAGGGAGGTGAACAAGCAATCTGTCCGCCATTGGCCAAGACTGAGAAAATGGAGGGCTGCAGGGCAGTCAGGATGAGGAGAACCTGTGGGGCACCAGAGAGAGGCATGGGTGGGTGGGGTCCTGCCGCACGGCACAGAGCCCAGCCGGCCCACCGCTGGGCCTTCCCTTCCACTAGGCAGATTCCACCCACCGTCAGATCTGTGCAGTTGCAGAGGGTTGAGACTCTCACTTCATTAAAAATCTGTGGGATTTTCATTTCTAGGCAAATGACATTCTCATTTTCTTTTTTTTGAGACAGAGTCTTGATCTGTTGCCAGGCTAGTGGGCAGTGGTGTGATCTCGGCTCACTGCAACCTCCGCTTCCTGGATTCAAGCGATTCTCCTGCCTCAGCCTCCCGAGTAGCTGGGACTACAGGCGTACACTACCACACTAGGCTAACTTTTGTATTTTTATTAGAGAAAGCATTTCACCATGTTGGCCAAGCTGATTTTGATCTCTTGACCTCGTGATCTGCGCACCTCAGCCTCCCAAAGGGCTGAGATTACAGGCATGAGCCACTGCGCCCGGGCCTCTACCCAATATTTTAGAATTTCTGACAAGATTTAAGAACTGAAGAAGGGGTTCATTTTTAACTCCTGTCCCAGCCGTGGCTACCAATGAGCACTTAATGGATAAAAAAAAAGGTGGGGTGATTAGAGAAGAGTCATTTCATCCAGCTCAAGTGCCTGAGGTCTCTGCTCCTAGAATACTGGACAACTAACCATTCAAGTGCCCTTTGAAAAGTCTCTGCCATGCCAGGGACTGAGAGGAGTGGGCAACGGGGAATTCGTGTTGAATGGGTACGAGGTTTCAGCAGAGGAAATTTCAGAAGTTCTGGGCATGGATGGAGGTAATGGTTGTGCAACAGTGCGAATGTACTTAATGCCACAGAACGTTACACTTCAAAATCATTGGGCTGGAAACAGTGGCTCACGCCTGTAATCCCAGCACTTTGGGAGGCCGAGGCAGGCAGATCACAAGGTCAAGAGATTGAGACCATCCTGGCCAACATGGTAAAACCCCGTCTCTACTAAAAATACAAAAATTAGCCACACGTGGTGGCACATGCCTGTAATCCCAGCTACTCGGGAGGCTGAGGCAGGAGAATCACTTGAACCCCAGAGTCGGAGGTTGCAATGAACTGAGATCTCGCCATTGCACTCCAGCCTGGCAACAGAGCGAGACTCTGTCTCAAAAAAAAAAAAAAAAAAAATCATTAAGAGGGCAAATTTTATCAGTATTTCACCACAATAAAGAAAGAAGGAGAGTGAGGAGAAGAAGATCCAGAGGCCCTGGAAGCCCTCCGAGTACACTGTGGAGGAGCATCGCTTCTTCAAGGCCAGTGGGGCTTGTCCACGCTCTCCACATTAGCCTTGGGCAGGCTCGGCAATCACAGGGTTTTTATCCTTCAGCCTGGTCTTAAGTCTGGGACTCAGAACCTTGCTGCCCCTTCAGTCTCTGACTCATTCCAGGGACTTCTCTCTGTTCCCACAGCCCCTTCCATTCTACCTACTATGTGCCTGGACATTCACAGTTGGGAGGCATGTACGTAGGTGGAAGGAGGTAGGTGAAATCACTGTTAACTGTAGGCCAGTCACTGCGCCTTGGGAGTAGAAGACCAGCAAGGAGACAGGATGGAGAAAGGAGAACAGGACTGGGTCACAAGTCACTGCATTTGGAGGATTAGAGAATGCCGCGCACAGAAAGTGGGCAGACATGCCTCTGAGAATTTTCAGAAGCGGCGTGAAGACAAAGAGGCAGGGAACTGAGAAGACAAGAGTGTGGAGGAGTCGGACACACCTGGGTATGGATTCTAGCCTTATCCCTTACGTGCCTTTGAGCAAGGACATCTCTGGGTCTGTTTCTTCCTTTGTAAAATGGGAATAATAATGAGTTCCAGGATTGTGAAAATTTAAGTGTAGTGTACGAAATGCCTAGCACACGGTGTAGGTAGTCTATAGCGGTCGCTGGAGACTGCTGCTGGTGTTGATGGATTACAGAGTTTTAGGAAGTCACAGGTAGAAAAGGAAAGCGAGAAGCAAGGGTAGACAAATGTAATGTTTGTTAACATACGTGTCATAGGTTAAATTGTGTCCCCCAAAAAGCTGTGCTGAAGTCCTGAGCCCTCGTACTTTGACCGTATTTAAGAACAGTTTGTTACAGATGTAATTAGTTAAGATGAGGCCATAATGGAATACTGTGGCCCTCAATCCAATTTGACTCGTGTCCTAAAAATAGACAAGATAGTGGGCATTGTGGCTCACAGCTGTCATCCCAGCACTTCGGGAGGCCAAGGCAGGCAGATCACCTGAGGTCAGGAGTTTAGACCAGCCTGGCCAGCATGGCGAAACCTGTCTCTACTAAAAATACAAAATTAGCTGGGCGTGGTGGTGCACGCCTGTAGTCCCAGCTACATGGGAGGCTGAGGGGAGCATCGCTTAACCTGAGATGGCGCCACTGCACTCCAGCCTGGGTGACGGAGCAAGACTCCATCTCAAAAATAATAATAGAAGACGCACAGAAACACAGGCAAGAATATCATGTGATGGAGGCAGAAACTGGAGTGACGCAGATGCTGCTCAAGGATCGCCCAGGACTGCCGGCAAGCCCCGGAAACTAGGGAGGCCAGGGTGGAAGGGTGGAGAGCCCTCGGGGTGCAGAAGGAGCGTGACACAATGCGACAATACATATCTGGTTGTTGTTGTTGTTGTTTTGAGATGGAGTTTTGCTCCTGTTGCCCAGGCTGCAGTGCAATGGCATGATCTCGGCTCACTGCAACCTCTGCCTCCTGGGTTCAATCAGTTCTCCTGCCTCAGCCTCCCGAGTAGCTGGGACTACAGGTGTGCACCACCACACCTGGCTACTTTTGTATTTTTGCAGAGACGGGGTTTCTCCATGTTGGTCAGGCTGGTCTCAAACTCCTGACCTCAGGAGATCTGCCCACCTCAGCCTCCCAGAGTGCTGGGCTTACATGTCTGTTGCTTTACGCCATCTGGTTTGTGGTATTTTGCCATGGCAGCCCTGGGAAACAATTGCAGCACAGAAAGACGGAAAGTGGGAAGCACAGCAATCATTTTCGAATCTCATGAGAGACCCGAGGCTTAGGAAAAAGATTCCCAGGCCCACTTGGAGCCTTGATTGGTCTTGCCCCCTAACCCCAATCACTTGTAGCTCTGTTATTAAACATCTTTTCTCTCCCAGGGTATCGTTACCTGGAACAGAGCAAACTTGGCTCCAATGTTCTGCTCACCCAGGTGTAGCTTGGCTTGACGGAAGAGGATGCCCAGGGTCCAGAGGGCCAACAGCGTGGACACGCCGAGGAAGGTGTTGATCCAGAGAGCTGTGCTCTCCTCAGAAATCTGGTGACAGGCGAGAAGGCAGCCAGTGAGGCAGGCAGGCAGGCACTCTCTCTCTTTCTCTCTTTAAGAGATGGTGTAGGCCGGGCGCGGTGGCTCACGCCTGTAATCCCAGCACTTTGGGAGGCCGAGGCGGGTGGATCACGAGGTCAAGAGATCGAGACCATCCTGGTCAATATGGTGAAACCCCGTCTCTACTAAAAATACAAAAAATTAGCTGGGCATGGTGGCGCGTGCCTGTAGTCCCAGCTACTCGGGAGGCTGAGGCAGGAGAATTGCCTGAACCCAGGAAGCGGAGGTTGCGGTGAGCTGAGATCGCTCCATTGCACTCCAGCCTGGGTAACAAGAGCGAAACTCCGTCTCAAAAAAAAAAAAAAAAAGAGATGGTGTCACTCTGTCACCCAGCTGAAAGTGCAGTGGTGCAATTACAGCTCACTGCGGCATCAAACTCCTGGGCTGCAGTGATCCATGCACCTCAAGCCCCTGAGTAGCTGGGACTGCAGGTGCACATCATTCCCAGCTAATTAAAACAAATAGAGAGAGGTGGATCTCACTGTGTTGCCCAAGCTGGTCTCAACCTCCTGGCTTCAAGTGATCCTCCTGCCTCGGCCCCCCAAAGTGCTGGGATTACAGGTGTGAACCACCATGCCCAGCCTAATTTAAAAAACATTTTTAGAAATGGGGTCTCACTATATTGCCCAGGCTAGTCTTGAGCTCCCACTCTTGAGCATTCCTCCCACCTCGGCCTCCTGAGCCACTGGGATTACAGGCCTGCGCCATGCACCCGGTGCCTGCTTTGATCTCTCCCCTCCCATGGCAGGAACGATAATGCCGGTGCTTTCCTCTCTCCAGCAGTCCCCGAGCCTCTGCTTTTCCACAGTCACCCTGTTTCTGAGGTCCTCTGTCAAGGGGTGTTGGCCCTGGCGATTCCTTTCAGAACACAAAGGCACTCAAAGAGTCTAGGACTGGGCCGCCCCTCATTCCCAGCTTACGTCTGCTGGGTCGTAGATGCCGTCGGGGATGAGAAACAGGCCCGTCAGCGTCAGCGTTATCTTCAAGAAGGCATATTGGAAAGGGCCCAACATCAGCAGCTGAAGCTTCCTCCTGAGCGGGGAAGAGGGCTAGGAACATGGGCCCCCAGACCGCCTGCCCCAGGAAGACCTCCGTCTCCTCATGGGGCTCCGGGCTGAGGCTTGGCTGCCCTCATGCATGCCCACCAGGTCAAACGGACAGGGACCGAGAAGGCCGGGATGTTGACAGCACTGGGAACCCTCCTTGTCTCCCCGACATCCCCAGACCAGAATGCTGCCTTTGGAGCGCCATCTGGGAGTGTGACCTCAAGCTCATCGACCAAGTGGGGGACAAGCGAATGGCCCCACTTCCAGTTTTGTGTGGCTAAAGTTTGCAGGGTGCAGTAAAGTTGCTTGATGAGAATTTAGCTCTCCTTCCTCTGCTCCCCCGTCCCTGGTGGTCAGGGCCTGGGGGTCCTGGCTGTGGGGCGCCCACCCTTCCATCACTGGCTTTGGCCCATTCACACCTAATTCCCAGACCTTGAATGGGGCTAGAGGGCCGGAAGAGGCTCCGCTGCTCCTGGAGGAGGTGCGGTCATCCTGCCTCACCTGGTGAGCAGCAGCGGTGGACAGCAGGGACAGCAGCAACAGCAGGGGCCTGTGTGGACCCTCATCGGGGTGTCCTTCAGAGTCCTCAGCACGGCCTCCTTCCCCCCAAAGCCTTCCACCATGACCAGCATCAGCAGGTAAAAGCACACGGCATAAAACCTGCGGTGGGAAGAGATGGGCCTGTGAGGTGGGGGCACGCTGCAGGAACACCCCCTTGCTGCCAGAGAGAGACTGCAGGGAGGTGCAGGGCTTACTGAGGGGAGGAGGGCAGGACGGGGCCCCCCGGGTGTGTGACCCACGGTGAGCCAGGAGCAGAGAGAGGAGACAGCGCAGGACTGGGAGGAGGAGAGCTTCTGACTGGGAACAAAGGGGTGCCTGAGGAGTGGCCAGATGCCAAAATTAGGCACTCCATGAACAGAACCAAGTCCAAGAGCCGCGAAAAAGCACAAGCTGGGAAGAGCCAGATTCAGGGTCAGCTGGGATTAAAGGCAAGGACTCCGGAGTCCTGGTGAGCGGGACCAGAGGGGCCATGAGGGGTGGGGCAGGACACTCACGAGGTTATGGCCATTTCCACCAGCACCAGGGAACGAGGGATCCAGAGACCAAAGCAGCAGAACACAGACACCACCTGCGCAGAGGGGCGGAGGGGTGAGGGCGGGTGGGGGGGACGCTCACCTGCGCAGAGGGGCAGAGAGGGTGGGAGGAAACGCTCACCTGCGC